TGCGGTAACCGTAATTATGCCTGAGAAAGTGAAAGAGGAAAAAGTGGGCCCGAAAAAGCTCACCCAAATGGAAGATGCCCCAGTGACACTACCACCTGAGCCTACTTTACACAGATCTCCGAACCCCTACAGACCGAAGATTCCCTTCCCGAGCCGACTCTTGGAGGAGAAGGACCGAACGATGATCCGGGACCTGCACGCGATGTTGGCTTAGGCCAATGTCGATTTATGTCCCCCCGACGTGATGAAGAACATACCGGCTTACGCGAGATTTTTCAAGGAAGTGGCAGCAAATAAGCAAAAACTCATAAACGATGAAGAAGTGCTCGTGTGTGAAGCTGCAAGTGTCTTCCAACAGAACTTGCCGAAAAAAGAGAAGGACCCCGGAGGCTTCATGATTTCTATGGCCTTTGGGAATGGAGAAGAGACATCAGGGTTGCTTGACCTAGGAGCGAGCATAAATCTCATACCACTTGCAGTCTATCATAGACTTGGGCTCAGGGAGTTGAAGCCCACCAAGATGCGCTTACAGCTTGCAGACCGTTCATTCCGCCATCCTGTAGGAATTGTGGAGGATGTGCTTGTCCGAGTAGGGAAGTTGATAGTCCCCGTGGACTTCGTTGTGCTTGATGTGGGGAGCGTGCAAGAAACTGGTAAGGAGCACACCATCCTACTCGGACGACCCTTCATGGCGACCACTAGCACAGTCATCGATGTGAGGAAGGGGACGGCGAGCATGACAGTTTTAGGCGAGGCCATTGCCGTTTCTGTGAGAGAGACCCAGCCTGAGCCGCAGGCAAATTTGGTGGAAGAGTGCATACCTCCGGGCGATTGAGCAGCTAACTGAGAAAGCGTGCATTCGAGAGCATGCTAAGATGTCATTGCAGGACAGAGCTAAGAAGTCTCGAGAGTTGCCCCGATCCCAATGGGGCGAGAGATTTGAGTTAACGGAGGCCCGCCACTGTTTCGGGCCCGACTACCTCCACCCTCCACCAGCACCACCGGATTCACAGTGACTAGTCTAGTCACTGTGCCGTGTACGTTTGTACTTTTCCTTTCTCTTTATTTCCGTTTTCGGTTAGTTTTTCTGTCTTTTATGTTGGTTGATTATGTGGCCAAACTTTCCTAGCACTGATAATCGACAATAGGGACATTGTTCAGTTTTAAGTGTGGGGGAGTTTTTACATGGTTATGTGTTTATATGGTTGACCAGGTCTTAGTTTTTAGGGTGTTTTCATCTTTTGTTTTTGTGTCTTATCTTGAGTCAGTTTGTTTGTTTTGCGAGTATGGATTATGGTGAATTTTAGGACTTGTTGATATTTGTTGACGATGTTGAGGAGATGTGATGATGACCATGACTAGTATGCCTTGATGAACTCAATGTGTCATTTTGTTGGACATTTATTTACCCTTTGCGAGGTTTGAGCCTTATGTTGTTTCTTGAGAGTCAGTGGTCGAAATTTGTGTTGATCAGAACTTGCTTTGAGGTTATTTTGAAATGAAGTGATTGAAGTTGTGATTTGTGAAAATGATTGAGGCATTTCTTTGACATAGCTCGTTTTAGCCTTTTTCATTGACTTGGTACTTATATTTTCATTAGTAGCCCGTTGAGCCTGAAACCTTATTTCTTGTCAACCGATTCGATTGAATTATTTGAGATTTGACAGTGTACTTGATATGATGACGGAGCTTTCTAATATATGTTTGGAGAAGGTTGAGAATTTGTTGAGTTGCATTTTTTAGTACTACAAAGAAAAAAAACAAGAGCTCACAAGGGGATTCGAATGAGAGCTCACAAGGCGATTCGAATGGATTCTGCTCCTCTTACTAGTAAATTCACGTTGATAGTAATGAGCATTGGGAAACTACTGTAGGACACTTGGAAGACCTCCAATGTTTAAACCTACGGACTGTTGTCCTTTCGATTCGTTGTTGTTCGGAAAAATTACTCTTCAAAAATAAAAATAATAAAAAAAAAAGAAAGAAATGACAAAAAAAAAGAGACAATCGAGTACTTAATTTGCATTTCATCTTGAGCATGTATGAGTGTTGCATGGAGTTTTGATGGGAATGATTGGGTTCATGTTGATTTTGGATAGGTGGTGGAGTATTCGAGTAGTTTATATGCTCGAGAATTTGATTATTTATTTGAGCCGCTTTATCTTCATTTTGGTGTTTCCCTTGTGCAAACAGCCTTTATTGCAACCCCAGAAGTCCTCTTGATTTGCACTTCATGATTTTCGATTGTTTTAGAGTATGAATAGACGATAAGCAAGCTTATGTTGATGCATGATGATCGACCAATTTGAGTATACCAAGTTCATATTCAAGCAAGAAACTAAGTGAGGCATATATGTATTATACTGCCATGCTTGAGAGTTTGTCTTTTCAAGGCGTTGCATTCGAGTTGTAATTGAGATGTGCTATATTGGTCATTGGAAGTCTCCTCGGCTGAGTTGATTATTTTGAAGCTTGTCTTATTTGAAACTGTAATTTTACCCATGCTCATTTGCTTGTTTTCTTTTCTTTTCGTGTCTTTTCTTTTCTTTTTGTTCGGGACGAACAAAGGTTTTAGTGTGGGGGAGTTGTTTGTCCCATTTTTGTTGCGTTTTTCCTTATTATTTTTCATTTCTTTGTCCCCCGTTTTAGGTCTTTTCGTTAGTTTATATTCGCTTTTATAGGTTTTTGCGTGTTTTCCTTTATGTTGGTCTTTTCTGTATTGTTTTGGTCGTTTCTCGATTTTCCCCGCTTTTGTGTTCGCTTGTGGTGTACAGGTCAGGTGCCTCGTCGACTGTAATTTGAAGGAGGAGAATGTTTTGGGCTAACTTAATTTGCACGTTTCATTGGCGACACACAGGAAAAATCGAGATCAAATTCCGATATCACACGAGCTCGAACGGGCTCGGTACGTTAAGACAAGTAAGCTGCCAGACCCGCCGCGCCAGGCCCTCGCGCCGCGATGCCATCACGAGCCTTCAGAAGATACTGCTTCGCCCACCACGCCGTGCTGACGTCGCGCAGCGGCATTGCAGAACCCTCGCGCCGCGCCACAGCTCGCGGAGACCGCCACGCCTGGACAGAGACCCGAGCTTCCCAATCCGTCACGCCGCTGAGGACCCGTCACGCCGTGAAGATCGCCTATCCCGCGCCGTGAAGTGGTGCCACGCCGCGACGCACACGCCCAGCCTTCCTCCTCCCGCGCCGCGACCAAGCTACACGCCGCGGCCAGCACTCCCCTCGCGCCGCGGCAGACCCTCCGTGCTGTGGCCAGCATCATCCTCGCGCTGCGGCCGCACTCCCAGCGCCGTGACAAGTCCCGCCTATATAAATGAGATCGGGTCCTCGACAGAAGGGGATATCTCTCATTCTCTCGACCCACGAAACACAGAAAACCCTACCCCCCACTCTCTTCACTCGTTTTTTTTACTTGTCTTTCATCGATTTCAACGTAGAACACGGATTTGATCTCGGATTTTGCTATTGCTTTGGATTTAAGCCTGTTTATCAGATTCAACTTTGGGATTTCATCATTGTAAGATTTTCTTTTCATTTAATCTTTGAATATGTCTATCTTGATTGTTGAGGTTGTTGATGTTGAATATATTATGATTGGCTAAATCCATTTGCTAGGGAATAGGGGATTAATGTTTTGAATTCGTTAGTGATTGTTGGGAATTTTTGATCGTTCTATTTGTACGAGTTGTTCTTCAAAAGGGTTTTTCAAATATTAGGCTTGAATATTAAGAATTATTGAAGGGTGACACTTCAATCTCCAATTTACGATTGAATTCGATGTATTCTCGCATAATGATGGTTATTCTTATTGACTAGTCGGTTAACCACCCTCTAGTCTAATTTAATCGACTCTTAGAACCGAAAGGGGAGGAGTCGGTCGAAATAGGCTCGTATAGACTAGGCTTGTTCATAACTGTATTGCCTATGTGTTAAATGACTTGTTAATCTGTCGTTCAAGTTTGTTCTCTTGTTACGAAGAGTTATTGAGGATGAGTACTTGAACGAGCAGGTTATCCAAATCACTTAACTGAACGATCACTTGTCCAATAGTCGCAATTCGAGCCAAAACGGATATCCCCGACTCACTAGCTTCTCAAATCCTAATAGTTCTTCGTTACTTGCTTTCCTTATTGTTTAATTTGAATTTTCGCAGTAGTTGATAATTAAATCAAACCAATATCTGAATTAGAATGTCTAGGAAATTTATTTTCTTTTGTGTGGTTGAATAAACGTGCATAATAATCCGGCTAACCTTCCTCGAGAGACACGACCCGGTGTTCGAGACTTCTGATTCTACTCCGAAAAAATATTTACAACATCCAACATCGGCTGAGGTGGTTCGAACATGTCCAACGGAGGCCTCCTGATGCACCGGTGCGTAGGGGGGTTCTTCAGCGGGGCGAGGATGTAAAGAGAGGTAGAGGTCGACCTAAACTCACTTGGGAAGAGTCGGTTAAGAAAGACTTTAAAGATTGGAATATCCCCAAGGATTTAGCGGTGGATAGGAGCGCTTGGAGGCTAGCAATCCACGTGCCAGAACCGTGACTTTTGCTCTTTTCTCTTTTTGTTACAACTTCTTCCTTTTGTTTCGAGCCCTTTTGTGTTTCTCTTACCATTGTTTCTCTTGGGTTTCATCTCTAGCCTACCCCGACTTGCTTGGGACTAAAGGCTATGTTATTGTTGTTGTTGTTGAAAATGGTACGATTATTCTTGCGGATATACTTACTAGAATACTAATCATTTTAGAAACTTTTTGAAAACGAATTTTTATTATCCCGCCTACTTTATTTGAAATTCAAAATTATTTTTAATTATATTAATGAACAATTACTATTTATTTTTTTTCTTATGTGATATAATCTAAATTTGGGTATTGGATTTTTAAAGATTCATCATAAATATACTTATATACCAAATTTTATATTAATGACTTTTTTCTTTTCCGTCATTCCTATTCGGTTCATCTTTATCTTTTTATTATTCCCTTATTTCTTCTTCCTTCCCAAGAGCTCGACGGTTGGAATATCACCGTGAACGAGGCACAGTCCCAAAGTGGCGACGGTGGGTTCTGAGGTGTGCCCGTCGTGTGGGTGGAGGCGGTGGTGTGATGGGAGCAACGGCAGTGGATCTGACAACGGTGGCTATTGATATTTATGTTTTTCATTGTTTATAATTATTTAATTTACATAATGAAAAGAAATGTGAAAAATATAAACAGTTATATTTAAAATAAAGTATAAAGAAAAGTTCAAAATATGAGCATCGTACCGGATATACACTAGTTATATAGTAATAGATTATTACCACATATTATGGTACAATAATATGCTTCTAGATTATTTAGACGAGAATCACATCACTAATTATGGTACCACACATATTTCGATTAAACTACAGGCATATTATAGCTGTCAACTATTTTCAAACTATTATTTTGCTGATCTTCTTTTTCAATAATTCATATTATACTAATTTTATATATAAGAAAATGTAATGCTAGGTTCTAATCTTATAGGTACATTTCAAGTTCCAGTATGCTGCTTTGAAAAATTTTCAATAATGATTCTCAAGCAAAAGATCAAATATTCCAGAGTTGTTGAAAGCATATCAAATCCCTATCTTTATACTGTAGTTGCTCGTAGGAATCTTCGCAAAACATTATCTGGAATGAGGGTAATTTCGTGCGTGGACTTACATGAATTGTAAACGATTTCTTAAAAACTAGTTCTAATCTTCTCTTTTTGACCGACTAATATGAATCCCGTGCGATGTACGGATAAGAGATATTTATTAATATTTATAAGTTAAAAATGCTTATTAAATAATATTTGAAATTAAACATATGGAATCAATATGTAGTACAACTTATATTAATTTATTAAAAATGTTATATGAAATTTAAATTTTAAAAATTACATAAAACATGTCTATTTACAATTAGTAAACAACTTTGCGGAGCACGTGACTGATAATAAATTATATTATATTCATTTTAAAATAAGTGTTATGTTAACATATTAATTCAGAAATTCGATTGGACTACAATATGATTCCGTATAATAATTATTTTAGTATAAAATTATTATATATTTAAAAATCTATGTGAATATATAATAAATATAGTGATAAATTTATATGTTCTATTAATTACAATGAACTTATTTTTGTATAACCTATCCAAATAAAAACATAAGTAGTTGGGTAATTTATTAAACTATAAACAATTAACTATTCTATTTACGTCCAAGTTAATATTAACCCATATTTTATGATAATTACTTATTTGACTTTTAAGTTTAGAACCCAAATTTGAACTACACAATAAATTCACTTATATATATAAATATATATATATATATATATGTATGTATATGGTTGGGTTCACATGAGAATGATGCTTAGTGAAAGAAATGAGAATGAATCGTAGCCATTAGATCGGATGATTTAATGGATAAAAAAAAGTCAAACTTATATCTTCATTAAGGGTTATTTGGTCATTACCATTACACACCACCAACAACATCATCATGCCACAATCACCACCCACACATCCAACACACCCATAACACACGCACTCGCACGCACAACACACGCACACACACACGTCAGCACACACTAAACACACCAACACTCACACACACTCTGTAAACACATTACAGGCACATTACACACACACACACACACACACACAAATATCTACCACCGGCCGGCATCCACGCCGGCAACAGTCTGAGAGCAACTCCACCGTCGACCGCCTCCAAAAGCCAACAGATCCGAGAGCTCCTCCATCGTCGACAGCCTCCTGCCGCCGCAACTCCACCGTACACAGACACGCCGTCGGACGTGAAGGATCTCTGTTCAGTTGCAATCATCCGCCTCCGCCACGAAGCTCGAATGAGTTGAGGCCATCTCTAATACATTCCGGCAACAGGTCGCCGTCAGACGACGCGAAGCTCGAACAGGTCACCGGCGATTTCACCCACCAGCAGGAACTTGGCGACGGAGCTTAGGTCGCGGCACGAAAAGCTCTAAGACGAGCATAAAACACGATGAACCCATGGATGCCGGAGTGTTACGGCCGGAGAGAGCTGGATGCCGGCGGGTGGGGTGGTGGAGGGTGAAGATGAGATTGGGGATTAGGGCATTCTTTTGAGAATTGAATCTTGTGCGGAGGCTGATTGCAAAATAATAAAGATTTAATATATTTCAGTTTGGTACATGTGCCTAATGTGCAATTTACAGAAAATTTAATAAACATGTAATAAATTTGTAATTTTAAATTAGGGATTTAGGGTTTCATCAT